GAAAAAGTATTTATGCCTTCTCCTCATTCCTGTGAGCCACATTCATCTAAAGATTGCTCCCAACAGCACAAGACAGCCAGCACACTGGTTTGACAGGTTGCAGGGACCTATTGTCAGACTGCTGACATCCCAGCAGCTCTCTACATAAAGCAGGAAGGAAAGGTGCAGTTCCCACAGCCAACATGAGTAGTATCGCATCCTCTCCATCTTCCCAATAGAAATGAGACAGATGGTCACATTTACAGCACAAATCATTTAGCCAGAGTGTTCCTCCTACCCTCGTCATCACAAGCTCCTCTTGGAAGCCCTTCCACATCTGCCTGTGCAGCCTTTTAGTACTTGCTTGGACTTAATGATATAAAAATAATATGGGGTCTTGCACAAGTAAACTGATGCTTCTGTCAGGTAAGGACAGATTCTTATTTCAGGCTCTTCCAGAAAACACAGCCTTGCATTCAAGCTCTTCCACCAGGTGCCTCTTGAGCATCTTAAGACTACTCAGACTTCTCAGGAAACTATCTGTAATCAAAAATGTGGCTACACTCCAGGCTCGCACAGGTGTTCCTCCACTCTGTGGCTTTCTTGAATACCCAATCTGACAGGCTGACACAGTAAACTAATCAACAAGCCAAATCTTTTGAACACTATGGACAAACCACACTGCCCACTCTCAAGCAACAGCAGCAGAGCAATATTCTGAAATCACAAAAGGAATCTGCTAGCAAGAAACTGCAACAGAGTGTTTGGGCTGTGAAAGACTAAACTGAAGATGAAGGAAAGTAATGGAGAAGCCAGAGATGGATGGCTGGGCTGAGGGTCCTTGCTGAAGTCTTCGCACCAGAGACCAAGAAATCACAACCCAGGATTCTCCCAAAAGCACTATCTGTGTTCTTGCATTTGCGAAAGAAAGCAGATCTCAAGCTGCATGAGCAATTACACTTTCCTATACTAGGGCGATGAACACCTCAAAAAGACCCACCTATTACTTACCCTCTTCATTAGCAAGGCCAGTGGCATCAACAACTCTTATGACCCTTGAGCATGAGGACTATCACTGTATCTTATTCCTGTAACAGGACTCCCCAAAATCTCTGCGCGCACAGAGATCTGTGAGGACCAGGCCTGACACCATGCGAGCCAACTCCTGTGGCTAATGACCCAGAAATGCCTGCACTGAAAGGGCTGCTACAAATAGCCCTGCCATCCCTGCAGCTTAAAAGGTTACCTCATCGTTTTCCTCTTGCTTGCGGCGCTGCTCCGCTTCAAATACCAGCTTCACTTGGATTTCCTGAGCGATCTCACAGTCCTGTCGTTCTCTAGAAGGCAAGGAGACAAGGATTATAGGCAGCCAGTCACAGGCATCAGTCAGCCTGGAGAAAGGGATAAAAGAGCTAAAGAGCTATCTGATTTACACAGAAGCATTACTATTCAGTATTAGCGCAGAGCCCACGAATGCTCACCAAGGACCAGGACTCCCTGTAGTTACTGCTGGACAAATTTAGAAAATAGATTCCCAAACATTCACAATCAGAGTATAAAGCAAGAGAAAACAGATTTATAGACAGTTTGCTAAGATGAGGTAGGTACCATAGGATAGTGCAGGCCAAAATAGCTCCCAGGAGTCTCTGCAAACAGCCTTATTCTGCTGAGGAGTTCTTGCACATGTGGTGCCAGAGGAGGGTTCAGGTTAATGCAGGCATTTCTGAGAAGTGGTTTTCACATGAAGAAGAAGAAAGCGTAGAAATGCTGATAGCAAAATGCAGTAAGTCGGCCAAGCTGAGGGTAGAGGTGGCAGTTCAGTAATGAATGAAAAACGCTGCTGAGGTGGGACAAGACACAAAAGTAGAACCAGTGGCAAGAGAGTGGTATGTGTCAAAATGACAGGTGAGGGAGCAATCACCTACTGCAGATGCAAAAGCAACACAATATTGCATTAAGTGAGGACAGAAAAGGAGATATCAGAGTAACGGAGACATTAAATGAGTTTTGTCTGTGTGGACAGACAGGGAAGGCCGTAATTCAGGGATGTCACACAGAAAGCATTTGCAAGAATTGCGCCACACTCAGCCGTGGGCTGCAATGGTCAGCAAACAGACTGGAACGATGGCCAGAGGTTCCTTAGGGCAACCCCAGGAAAGCGCTGGGGAATTTGAGAAGAAAGATTAAGAGCTCCCCCATTCAGCACTGTTGAAATTGAGCCAAAGACTAGCTCTAAACAGGTCAGAAAAATCAATTTAAGCTATCTCTGCAACTGAGACTACTGAAAGGCAAGGCATAGGAGATGAGAATGTGGGAACAGCAACTGGCAGAGCTTACTTTATTAGAATACAATCTTTTGAAGAATACACTGGCAATGATCAGATAGGTGATGGGAGGACTACCAAGAGCATTGTCAAGCAAGTATTTCAAGAGAAGCAGGATCAGTTATGTCAAAGTTGGGTCATGGAGGCTAGAGTAACTAGTTCTAGGCTTGAGCAAGAATCAGGGCATGAGTGACATCGTGAACTTGGAGGCAAGGACGGGAAGGGAGTCTAGGATACGAGCAGAGGAGATTAAGACAAGCACTTCTGATACCAAAACAGAGAGATGGCATGGCTGGAGCAGTCAGTGCTTTTATAGAAAGCGAAGAAGAACAAGAGAAGCAGAAAGAGTGCATATGTCGTTTAGGATAGGGAGGAAGGACACTGTGACAAGAGCATTTAGAGGACAAATGCCACCAAACAGCTAATCTGTCACATGGAAGGAAAAGGAACCTACAGCAGGAGGGAAGCTTCTTTATTTCTTGCAACTGCTCCTTGGAAGCAGACCTGCAACTGGGTACTGCATGTTATTTATATCCCCTTCCCCAACACATACGAATCCCAAATCAGTGTCACAACATGATGTTTCCTTCCCTTTCTGGGACTAACTCACCACCAAACCTCCTGCATATCCATAAACTGACCCACATCTAGAGAGACCCTGGAAGGCTCTCATGAATTTCAGTGTTTGTAGGGCTGGAATTATCAACAGGTCAAATCACTTCAGTTAGGCTTACGGTTGGACTCTATGATCTTAAAGGTCTTTTTGATGATTCTATGATTTTATTAGACATCAGTTTCTTTCATCCAGGTAATAAAACCTGGCACTTTGTGTGTGTGCCCGTGTGTACTTCGCTTGATTCCAGGGAGAGACCTGTTCAAAAGGTACATGAGCTCACATGGCAGCAGATCCAGTTCTTGAACGTGCCATATAAAAAAGGACCTTGGCAAGCCTGGTACCAGCAATGAACCACAGTCCTCACCAAAAGAGTAGCCGAATACACCAATCCTGGAGAGCAGGCTGTCAGTGGGTCCAAGATAGTGGATCCCTTACGACCCCAGTCTTAGAGGACATGAATCCAGGTAGAAAATAAGTTTGAAAGGTCAGACATATCAAGGCGTTGCACAGCTCCAGTTCCCCCAGCACCTGTGAACAGAGCTAAGGTGCCAAGTTTATCAGCACCAACTTGCTAAATGCTTAAAATACCTCTTCTTGCGGACAAACAGGAGACAGAAACAGCTAATCGTCTTTCAGAGACAAGGAAACAAGGTCATTGCCTCTCCATTCACAGCAAAGAGCACTAGAAGTAATGCAAAAGTAGAAGCATTTTCTTGTTCTTGATGACACACATCTTGGTATACACTCTACCAAACTCTAAGAACCACTGAACAGCAACAGAGTATTAGATTTTGGGGGGTTTTATTGCTCAGTGGTAATCAAATACTGAGATTTGATTAGTTAATGAACATAAGCTAGTGTTTCAACTAGACTGAGCATAAGAAATTAGGTTAAAGAACTTTGATAGCTCTTCTTGTCTTTCAGTTTCTTTAGGTGAGTTCAGACATCCATCAGTCCCCAGAAATCAGCCAGAGCAACATAAATATCAATATCCCTGAACATCATAGCTATGTGTCCTTTGTTCCTGGGCAGCCAGGAGTGTTGAGTGTCAGGGAAACTCTGCATCAGTTTAGGAAAGAGAAGAGTGGTAGGAAGAAAAAAAAAAAGTCTGATCAGAAAGCTCCCATTCACACTGGCTGTAGCAAGTAATTGTTGCCAGGTGAGGAGAAAGAAAATAAAAGGGTTTAAGGGAACTGTTCAAAGGAACAGTTCATATTAATGTAACAGAACCATCACAGCACTGGAGCAAAATGAGGAAAGA